GCGCCGCGCTTTTGTGCCCAGGATCCCCCGGCCCACTCGGCCAAGGCCGGTCGCGGCGCCAAGTTCCGACTGGTGCCCAAGTTTAAGAAGGAGAAAAGCAACAAAGCCAAAGAGCCGCGCGGCCGCCTCGCCCTGCCAGGTAATCCGCCGAGCCCTCCTCGGGACGGCCGCGCGCGCGCGTGCGTGCGAGGCGACGCCGCTGAGCGCCCGGCTCCCCGTTTGTCCCAGTCGAGCAGTGGGGCACGGAGGAGGTCGGGGCCTGGTTGGACTTCCTGTGCCTGCCCGAGTACAAGGACACCTTCGGCCGACACGACGTGCGAGGCGGCGAACTGCTGCACCTGGAGAGGCGAGACCTCAAGGTAGCGCGCCGCCACCGCCGCCCGAAGACGCGAGGTGCCCGACGCGCTCAGATCGGTGACGCGCGCGCGTGTGGGACTCGTGCGCAGGACCTGGGCGTCGGCAAGGTGGGCCACGTGAAGAGAATCCTTCAGGGCATCCGAGAGTTGAGCCGCAACGGCAGCGCCAGCGAGGCCTGAGCTGCGGAGGCCCCGCCCCCCAGGTGACTCTTCGCTCTCCCGGAGCAAAGAGTCAACCGGCGTCCGAGCGAGCCTGCCGTCGGCGGCGCCGCGTCACTCCTGTGCCTTGTCGTGTGACCAACGAGCGTCCATTTCTATTTCTTGACATTGGCACGCTCCTTTCTTTCCATTTGAGCTTTCCCCTTTGATTTGGAGTGCTAACTTGGTGCAAGTCGCAGAGAACAACATTCCAAAATCAATCAATCACCAGCGGAGGTACATTTCATTCAAAATGAGAAGAAATATGTGGATTTTGATGGAGAAGCATTTTGTGCTCGTGTTATTAAGTCATTTCTCGCCTCTCAGATTCGCTTGGGTGCCAAAGAGCTCTCGTTATTTTTCATTCCGGTACTTCTCCACCGCCCCCCCCCCCCCTAAAATGGGACACTTCTCAAGGACGGCGCTTTTGACTTTTGCGGTCGGAGCGCCTTCGAAAACGGAGCAGCGTGATGAGCACGGCGCAAATAGAGCGGTAGGGCGCATGCTCGATGGAGTGCGCTTCGATAGCGCCGGAGCAAGCCCAGAAGGCACCCAAGGTGCTTTCCAGAGCCTCTCACGCGCACACACGCAGGCCGGCCCAGGCGGAGACGTGCGCACGGGCCGGCGGGAGCAAACGAGGCTTCAAAAACCAGGGTGGATTGATGGACCGGAGGGGGCCGCGCTTTCCCTTCCTCCGGCTGCCCCTCGGATTCCCAAAGGGCGCTCGAGAATGTTTGTCGGCAGCGACGACGACGGCGAGAAAAGGGAGAAATGATTGGGCCCCGTGAGAAACAGGTTTTTATTGGAAAGCTGTCCGTCGGCGTGCGGGGCGCAAAGGAGTCACTGTGCAAGTCAAGCCAGGTAGAAAAACAAACCAAAAAAGACGCCGCCCTCGCATCGCGCGCAAGGCCGACACGGTCAAGACTTTGGAGCGAGCGCCGCGACATTGTCCAGCATGGCGAGGCGTTTTGCCGCAAGCGGCGGGGCGCGAACCGGAGCCGGCCTTTGCGACGCTGACCGCGAGCCCCCCCCTCCCAAGTACGAGCGCTCGCGCGCGCGCTACCTGCGTCAGGACCTGAAGACGTGGACGGCTCGGATGACGAATTGGCGGCAGATGGGACACTCGCTCATCCGCTTGCCGCACTTGGTGCACGTGATCATGTGGCCGCACTCCAGCAGCACGCAGTCGATGGCGGCGTCCATGCAGATGCGACACAGGTTGCCGTCGGGGCCCGGCGGAGCGCCGTCCTCTTCTGCGGGGAGACGTGCGGCCTTACGTGACGGGGGAGTTCACCGGCCGCGACCCGGACGCGCCGAGCTCCGGCCCAAGAGCGACGCGGGCCGCCGTCGACTCGTTGCCCGGCAGCCGTATTTGTCGCTCATGGAAAACGGCGGCGCGCGCGTCTGGAAAGGAGACGGCGGAGCTCACCCCGGCGGGCGTTGCGGTCCCGGTAGAGGCGAGCGACTCTCTCCATCAGCTCCCACTTCTCGCAGCAGCCTTTGAAGTCGACAAAGTTCCTGGCCAGAATTTCCTTCAGCTGCCGCACGCTCAGCGCGTCCACGTCGTCCTCGCCGGCCAAGTCCGACAGCGACGCCCTGCGGCCCGCCGCTTCCCGGACGTCCTCCTCGGGGTCCCGGCCCTGAAGGAGAGCGCGTGCGCTTGGTTGGCGGCAAAGAAACCCCACGGAGCTTCTCCCCGTCCGGACGCCGCCGATTTCAAAGGCGACCGTGTCCGAGCCTTTTGTTCATGGGAGGACGGCGCCTTCGCCTTTTGTTTTCAAAGTCGTCAACGCCGCGCAAACACAAACGGTTGGGATGTTAAGGGATCCAAAAAAAAAACCAAACCCCTCTTTGGTTTCTTCGTCACCCAACTTTTCAATTCATTGGCCAACAAATGGGTGAGGGCATTTTTTTTTTCCCCCGCCCAATATCGGAAGCGGCATCTGCCTCAAAAGCGGTCGCGCCCGCTTGATCAAAGCGTTGAACCGATGAAAGGCGGAATAGCAAGCGTTCCGTAATGTCCTACCCGGTCTTGGTCCCGGTCTTGGTCCCGATCCGAAGCGTCGTCATCCAGGGGGGCGGCCTCAGGAGTCCCGGCTGGCGGGGTCCGGTCAGGGAGGTCGGCGGCGGGGGTCCGATCGGAGGCGTCGCCGTCCAAGGCCGGCGACGGGGCGTCGCCGTCGGGGGCTTCGGCCGGAGACGGCTGCTGACTCAGGATCAGTTCCACCAGCTCCTCCTGCACACGAGCGCCCCCCGTTGGCCAGCGGTGGGACACAAGCAAGTGCAAACGCCACAAAAGGCCACTTTTTCTTCGGACCGCTTTTGACTTTGCGCTCCTCACTTTGTCCAAATTGAAGCGGTTCAGGGTGGGCCGAGCCGGCACGCGCGCGACCCCGGTGGGCATGACGCGCTTCGGATAACGGATGGATGGGATCGTTTCGAGTGGTCATATCGCCGCGACAATCCGAGCCGGCGGGCCAGGCTCAGGCGCCGTCCGCGCGACGACTTAAGTCGGCCTCGGCGCATTTTTGGGAGGATTGGCAATGACGCGCGGGACGGCGGCGCCGATGCCAAATGCCGCCGCTTCCGAGAAGGCGCAAAAGCCGCGGCCACCTCCCGGTCTTTTGAGTCATTGGCGGCTCGCCGACCTTTGACCCGTGCGTGTGCATCCACGATGGGGATCTGAATCCCTTTGAGCTTCATTGCGACGGATGAAAAGCGCGCGAGAAATTCCGTTTGACTGACTGCCGTCGCATCGGGTGAGACCGGTTTTTCGACTGACGGCCGTTTCCTTGTTCCTCATTTCGGGACTCTTTGTGAGCGGCCAAAACTGCCGGCAAGGTAAGCCGGTCACGAGTTGCGTCGTTCAAGTCAAGCCTCTCCTTTGTCGAGAGCACTTTGAAAGAGGAATCCGCGCCTTCGTTACGTCTCGGGCGGATAACCGGGACGCGCTTGACTTTGGGGTCGATCGTCCATCGAGCGTCTCTCATCGTCTCGCCTTTCGACCGCCCCTCGGAAGAGGGAGCGCATACAGTCACGCCTACTCTGGCGTCCCTTCGCTGGCTCTTTTGAAAGTTCTTTTGAAGCTGCGGCGATTGGTTTTCCAATCTTGAAACGAGCCGGCCCCTGCGCCCGACCTCTCGGGGCTCCCGCGCACCCGCCCGCAGGCGCAAGCGCAACCTCGACGCACGTGCATCTCCCCGGCGCCCCGTTTGCAACTATCGTGGGCGTGGCTTATTTTCCAGGCCAGCGCCCAGTTTTTCGGAAGGCGAGCGCGTACCTTCTCTCGACAGAGGTGCGTGGCGACGCGGTGCAGGTGCAGGTAGTCCCGCAGCTCTTTGACTTTGAGTTTCATCAGCTCGGCGCGTTGCAACAGGTTGCCGTGGAAACGCCGGCAGGTGTGACACAGGCGGGGGCTGGGCTCCGTCTGAGCCGAGCAGCAGCCGCAGTAGTTCTCTTTGCAGTCGGCGCACACGTGCTGGGGGGCGGAGTCGGCGCGCGGTTAGCATTCGCACGTACCTCGCAATGGCGCGCTCCTTCGCGACTCCTCATTTGCCGCGATGGAGCCGGCCGGGCATTTTGGGTCTACGTTTTAGGAACTCTTGAAGCAGACTCTGCATTGTGTCATTTCTTGTTGCCGCGGTTACCTTGGTGGTGGGCGTGTCCAGGCGGCGCCCGCAAGCTTTACAGGCGTGTTGTTGGTGCTCGGGGGGCGGAGTCGGCCGGCCGCCGAAGGCCGAGTTGGCGTAGGACCGAGGATGCGGCTCGGGCCCGTCCGCCTCATTATCCGCCTCGTCCAAGCACAGCCAATGGCAACATGACGCCCACATTTCTGGCAACGCACGACAACGTCACGACACCCACGTTTGTGGCCACAAACAAAAAAAAACCACACGACGCCCAGATTCCTGGCAACGCGGCGCCGCCTGCAAACTTTGTCCACCCGGGACCGCATCCAGAAACAAACGGGCGAGAAGGCCGCTACGTCACGGCTTTCTGGCAAATGGCTGAGCAGTTTTCGTTTGGACGTCAGCAGTCAGCATCCGCTCAGAAAGGCAGCAGGACACGGGGAGAAATTTCACCCTCTCGTTTGTCCAACTTCAACTTTTGTTGTTGTTGTTGTTTTCAAGCCACTTTCGGCGGGTAAGGAGGGGCCAAGCAAAGGGGAGCAAGAGTCAGCTGGCCTTTTGGGAAGGTGGCAAATGTTGTGCGTGGGAGGTGAAGTTCCTCCCAAACTTTGACGGCCGGACGTTTTTTTTTTTGGGGGGGGGGGGTCAAAAGGTGCACTTTGACTTCCGCCAGTTTTACTTGACGTCAACAACAGCCCACTTTCAAACTTTCAACTTGCGACGACAAGGCCATTTGAAGAGGACAACTTTCCGTCTCACTTTCGACACTTTGCTCGCACTTTCGACGAGTTTGTCCATCGAGCGTGTGCTAAGCTAACCGAGCTAGCGGCGGGCTCGTCACAAGACGAGAGAGTCGGAAAAAAGTTTCCCAAGTTCAACGACAACACTCGCCAGCCAACCAAAGCGACAACAAGGAACCGAAAGAAGCAAAGAAAGAAGCCAAAGTGTTCTCACCTGTCGCCACTCGGACGGCGGCTAGCGTCGGCTAGCAGGCAGCTCGCGAGCCAAACAGGAACAAGGTGGCCGGCGACGTCATCAGGTGGCCGCCGTGCGTCATCGGGTCGCGTGCAGGTGATACGGCCGCGAAACACAGATTGCGCCCGCGACGTCATATCAAGGCGCAACCGCTTGGAAAACAAGGGCACTTTAATATCGCCTTCCAAATGGAGATTCTTCAAAAACACACATTGAAATGAAAGAATAGAGAAGACAGAGAGTTTGTTTGCTTTCGAGAGGTTTCAAGGAATTTTCTTGTCAACCGAGAAAGTCCCGAGAAAAATGAAAATGGAACACAACGAGATCAAACAAATACGAGCGAGCGCGATAAGGCTGATTTAGCGATGGGGACAAATGAAAATAAGAGCGATTTTAAGAAGGCATTTCAAAGGGCGTTTTGAACTCGATAATCGAGCGTTTGAGACCAAATTGTTCAACTTGCATTGCTGAACGGAAATTGAATGGGGGGGGGGGGTGATGCCGAGGCTCCAGAGCACGGTTTGAGTTGGCGGGTGGAAAAGGAGTCGCTCCCCTACCGCCCGGGGGGCCTGCCGCGCGCGCCGGCGC